ATTTTTTTTTTTTTTTTTTTTTTTTTTTTTTTCCTTCGAGGAAGGGACAGTACATTGTGTACATACGGGCATTGCGTATTCAACGGATGTGCTGTCCCGTGCTGGGATCCTGTTTGAGTTTTATGTCGGGATTTCTGTCGAGTGGTTTATACCGGCGCTTATGTAAATGCAGACGTGATTTTTTTCAGCACCTCCCCGGGCCACCTGCACGAATATGCAGAGCATTTGCAGCATTCGAAACGAGCCGGGTCAGCCATCGCGATGTGAGTACCGCCGCAAAAATGTACGGATATTTTTATGTTACCTCGGGGCTAAATATCCCCGTGTTCGACGGTGTCGCTGGAAATTTCGCTATTAAATTCCGTTGAAACGCGCGCCACGATCGGCCGACGATCTTTGCCTCGCGCTCTCAGTCGGAAGAAGGCAGAGCGCTTTCCGATACGAAAGCCGATCGATAGGGGTGGGGATGATTTAGCATCATCGAAAACGAATTGAGATAGCATCTGTTCGCGTTCGTAACTGACGTCGCGAAACGGTGATCACCCTTCGATTTTCCATTCTTTTAATTCCGCGACACCGACGCGCAGCGGGGAGGGGAGGGAAGACAGGGTGAAAGAGACAGCAGAGGATTGCGGGAGGGGAAGAAAATAGCGAGAGAACCGAAGAGCGATCGGAACATCTAGCATGGACCGCCATAAAAAGCAATGCTCCACCGTAACGGGGTACGATAAGTGCCATGGTGCGAAGTAAAATCGATCCCGGGGGCAGCCTCGAATCGTGCGCCATAAAAAGGGAACATTAGAGCGAGAGGTGGATGGAACGCGAGATGAGAGAGAGAGGGATGAAAGCAACGAGATGGTAGCATAATGGTGTTGTGATTTTCTGGCTAGATACGCGATATAGATTGCGTCGGTGCAACGTTAAACGCTTCGGGCATTAGCGGCGTTAAATGGCGCCGAAACGCGCGCGCGGCGATACCATTTCGAGGCGTATTCGCAAAAACGATCGAGTCTCGCGGATTCGCGTGCTCTGGAATTCGCGGATTATCGGGGTAAAGCGCGATTCGAAAAATTCGCCGTGGATCCGACGCGTGGGGCGAATGGAAAACGTCGGCGGCGAAGGGGGTTGTTTCGCAAACCTTTAACCGTTCCCCGCGTCGTCGTGACTTCGAACGTTGCTAAGTCGAGAGGAAGTCTCCGAGATTCGACGGCAAACAGAGCGACTCGTCGAAGCTATAGGGTGAGAAACCCCAAACGGCAACACTTGGGTGGTAGCGAAGGCCAGAGACAGTGGGGGTGGTGCAGCGTTGGATGGTTGCAGGGAATAAATTTTGTACTTGATCGCGGAATCCCTACCCGGAGAGAGAAGAGCCGGAGAAAGCGGCTATATTCTTGGTAGTTGCCGCTGCTCCTACTCAATTTGCATCAAACTATGGAGAGACAACCACCCCCGCCTCCAAGCGTCCCACCCCGGCGGCTTTTCGCAGAGCTACCGTTCTAGCACCTGATGGAGCTGTACGACCCACCCCCTTCGACGTTCCACAGTCGAGACTAACGCGTTTAGCAGAGACTCGAACCCCTAATCAGATCTTCCGCCGACACCAGGGTTTCTAAGGTGCTGCTAAGTGTGAAGTTAATGGAGTCAAGACGCTGCTGCTTCGTGCCGAGGCGTTGGTACGCTACGACGTTAGGCAGTCTCGTCTGTTTAAGAAACAACGAGGAAAAATTTCGTCGAAACGAGACCCCCGGTTTTGTTATCGCTCCTGAAAGCGAAAACGCGTTTATTCGTACGCGCGAATATCGACGATTCGTCCGATCTTTCAGCCTATACCGCATTACCTCTCTCTCATATCTGATTTATTTCGATAATGGCTGCTTACCTAGTGCGTTCTCCTGTTAATTAATTCAGACTGTCGGGGTATCAGGGAACTGTGACGCGCTAATTCGATCAGAAGTGAATTCACTCGGTTCGGTAGCGAGGGCTGGTCGCCGCCGCTTGGGGGAAGTGCGCTGCCTTTGCTTCCAAGACAGATTTACCCCCGTAGACAGTTGACGTCGCTATCTAAATGTCGCTGCAGAGGCGCGTCGGAATGCCACTCGATAATACACAACGCGACGTCTCGAATCGCGACTCATTGTCCGACCGTACGGTGCACGCTGACATGGAAATGTTCACGGGCTCTATGTCATGTCACGCGTCCCATCGACGTCGAACCGGTGGGCTCAAGATTCAGAATGGAGTGGACGCGGTGTTTTTCATTTTTCTTCTTTTTCCAATCGCCATCGCTGAGCGTCGTAACGCGTTTCCCGGCGAGCAAAAAGGAATAGAGAAAAAAGGGGAAAAAGAGAGGAAAACTATTATTCGTGATAGGAGGAGGGAAATTTTCCGAATCAAAAGTGGAAATATCTCGGATGCCGACTTCATTTGCCATTCCGTTTGGGTATTCAGCCGTGCAAAGTACGCGAAGGGAGCATTCGTCTTTCTATTAATTTCTATGCGGCGTGAAATTACGCGCCGGCGACCCTAAGCTATATTAATAACCTAGATTACGAAGGAAATTAAGACAACGATGGGTCGTTGATACCTTTAGGAACGCGGCTTTGTCGCTCCGGCCGAAGGGGTTGAATCGGCTGGATGAAACTGCGATATTTCCATGCGACGCGATCGCCGTCCCTCGTCATCGTCGAAACGCCTCATAATGCCTCGTCTTATCGAACAATCGCGACGTATCGCTCTCCGTTTCGCGGGAAAAAATCATCTCGATGTTTCATCTTCCACCCCCGGAGCACTTGGGCTTCTTATATACCTCGTCTCATCGCTCTTTCTCGCCGATATTGTTCGGTGTTATGCTAATGCGATTCGTATTAATATGTAACGAGCCCGGACGAGAGCGAGAGGAAAAAAGAAAGGTCGCGTTATCGTAAATATGCGGAGCCGAGAGTGGTTGGTGCCGTTGAAGTTCAATCGGCTCTGCGTATCGTGGATCGATCGGCTCGGTCGCCCTCGTGGCTGGTGAAAAAGTTCCGAGGCAAAGCGCAATCACATCAAAGATTATTTCCGCCAATAAAACGGAAGTCGAGTTTCGTTCGGCGGGAACAAGGAGGAGAAGTGGGAGGAGAAGAGCGTGGCGAAGGAGTTGGAGGGAGGCTGTACGAATCGTTCTCGGTCGCGGAACAAGACGAGGGCAAGAAGCGTGGTAAGAAAACGAGGGGGGACACGAATGACGGAGAGGGGTAATGGCTCTCGGGTGAAGATAGAACGGAGAGCAAAGGGTGGTGGGAGCGAGAGGTTAACCGACAAGCTCGGCAATAAATCTACCGTTCGCCCGGAGCAGGTACTTATCAGTTCTCCAGGATCATCCGCGACTCCGGTGACTGCGAGAGAAGCCTGGCGGGCTCTCATCTCTCGAAATTGACGCCGAGTTCTCGAAGCAGGCTCGTCAAT